CGGTGGAAACTAGGCTGGAGGTAATTATCGATTCGTCAGGTGTACATTGAGAAAAAAGTCCGGCAATTTTAGAATTATTATTAATTTTTTTTCTCAATTATTGCCAGAAGAAATAATTGATGACACTAGAAAAATTCATCACTAGTGAATTTCCATGATTCTCACCAAAAATTTTGGTTTTGATATTTTTTTTAGATAACAGACCCGCGTCCTCAACCGTTTTCACTTCCATTAGCATTTTTTCCGGTCTTTCCTCCGTAAATTTAGTGACAGGTAGGGGGGGGACCAGTGACCGGGTGGATGGCCAGAAATTATTTTTTTTTACTTCCACCGCACAAAAACCCAGGATTAGTGGTGGATTTTAAAACCAGTAGAAGGGAGACTGGTTTATTCCGGGGGCAACCCAACTACAACCAGCTAATCTTATTGTTTTACGCACGGACCAGCAATAACGTGGGATTTTTTTATCCACCGTGTATTTTGAAAATAAATGTGAACGATAAAATGCCCATTGAAAAATTTCAATAATCTAAATGAACGACCGATAAATTAATCATCAAGATGATTCCGCATGAGAAAGCCCTCCCACCCCGTCATACTCATTGAAATAAAAAAAAAAAAGAGCGGGAAAGAAAAAAAATCGTGCAATCGTTGGAATAAATGTCGGCAGAGCCCAGTGCAAGGATGCCATAAGTGCAATATAAGATAGAAACACCGCAGCTGGAGATAAATGCTTTCTTGGATTGTGGTAGTCCTGTATATTTTCCCTCTTCCTCAAGTGGGTACTATCCACGCCCTCAATTTTTATTTTTCTCTTTCCCTTACATCCGTAATTTTCCTTTCCAGTAAGTTCTGACTATTTTCCACGGGATACAGAGAGGGGCACGGGGTGGTTAAACCGACTAGTAGATGAAAAAAATCTATATATATATAAAAAGAGTTGTAAGAGGAGAGTAAAGCCCTCCCAACACTCAGGAAATGACCCGGGTGATGGTGTAGTCGACGTTTTTCCGAGGTCTCAACTACTACTCGACTACAAGTAACATCTGGTTGAATCTAAATTTTTGGGTTTAACTCATCCGATCTACAAGTGACTAATCCATCAGTTAAAAATAAATACAACAAGGTCGCGATTTGTGTTTTCATTCTCGTGGAATAAAAGAGAAATGAATGAATCATCAATCATTCAATCGGTGAAAAATAGAATTGATATTGTGGTATAGAGGAAGTTTGAGTATTAGAAGCTCAACCAATGAAACCATAGCGAGAGTATTTATAGTAAAAGTCAATAAATTGGCACTAGAGTCTCGATTCTGGTGCGCCTTGGCTATAACCCTTGAAAACTCATCCATCATTCGAGGAAAAAAGAAAGAGCCATTTGAATTCCGAATAAACCGAAAAGTCTCGAGTGTCCCGAGAATTTATTGACTATTTTTTTTTAAATAGCCAGTTGAAAAATATTAGAAACACTGAAATGGGAGATGGAGTGAAGAAAAAAAAAAAATCTTAATCAGTAGAACCGAGGGATCGATGGGGGTTGGGCCTTTTGGGCCTCAGGCAGAAACTCAAACACCATATGGCCCCTGGCGGCACCTTTTTCACCGCGACGCCGACGCAACCACTCGACACACAAAATTATATTTTCGAAATATTTTACAGATGGAACTGAAATCCCTGTGAAATTCACTTTTTTACGCCCGTCTTTTGTCAGTGAATTAAAAAAAAAATTCCAAGAGAATTCTAAGAGAATTAGAAATCGGTAAAACCACATTTTTTACCGATTTCGGTGAATCTTCAGGAATATCTCCGAAACGAAAGGAGATAGCGAAATTCTTGTCGCTATCATTTTTCTAGATCTGTTGGAGAACTACACAAAAGGTTATTAAAGGAATTCCGCCAAATCCCTTAGTTTCGGAGATTTTTTTCGATAAACCCATCAACGCGGGGAAATCGTTCAAAAAATCGATATTATTGATAACAATTGAGACTCACTGTCGGTCTCTCCAAGGTCAAATAGTGTTTATCACTCACCTGAAACAGAAAAAAAAGGGGGGAAAAAATTAATTATCATGACAGTATCGTAATGTAATCGTAGGATGATTTGTAATGCATGAATGATCCAGAGAAATCAATTCAGTCGTAGGAGAGAAATAAAAAGCATTGGGATTAGCGATGGTAACAATGATAATGACATTAATGCATTGTTAACAATGCTAGTAGCGGTGGACACTGGCAGAATGGGTGGGTGGATGGGTGGATTTGAGGGGATGAGGGGGAGGTTGACGCCCACTTGGTCATTAGGCACAGGACATACATCATGTTACCCCTGGCATCCCGACGCCTCGTTCTGTCAGACGCACATTCACCGATAGATACAGTGACAAACTGGGACACAATTGCAAAGATATAACTGCTAATACATAAACACCCAGATTTTCATGTTCTTTCGACTCTTCCAATTAATTTTCTCGATAAATATTTCAAATCTCCTATGACATTTGTCACTGCATTTCCAGTTTTTCAAATAGAATCTATATATTTTATTTTCAATTCATTCTGATAATGAATTTTCTTGAAATATTATTCAAAGATTGACTTGAATTTCCAGGAATGTCTAATAGCGTATGCACTCGGTGATATATGAGGTATGTGAATATTTTTGAAAATTGTTTCCGACATTTTCATCATATTTTACCCCTCGGCTTATTAAACGTTAACGGTATTCCCAGGCATTTTGTTGAAGTTGTGCCGGCGTCGGGTGCGTAATTATACCGGGCATTGTACCAGAGGGACCCCAAGAAGAGGAAGAGATGAGTACCTCGTCCTCAACACATATTAACCAACACTATAACACCGTGGAAACTTGTAGGGACCGAGCAAACGAGAACGAGTTGAGTTTAATCGACTCGAATATCAGCTGCTCGTTCGATGCCAGTGCAAATACATTCACTATTAAGGGAATGTGGACAATTGCATCATTGACAATTTTCACATTTCCCCAAAATCTTTTATTTCAAAGAAAATGAAAAAAAGAACCGAAGATAAGTAAAGAAAAATGTGAAATCTCAATTATGAATTGCCGAGATAAAAAAAACCTCAAATTTCAGAGGGATATATTTTTTTCCAATATTTTTTCTCCTTTATTCGGTTTCTCCGAAGGGTGGCCACTTCCGGTCTACTCACTCCCCTCCCCCCTTGATATATCCGGTCCCCCAAAAAACCCGTCTGACCACTGCAAGTAAATTGAACCACTTCATTCTCACGAATAAAGACAATAATATTGCAAAAACAAGAGAATCACAAAAAAAATTCTGCGACCTATAAAAAAAAATAAATAAATAATCCATCAATCATTCCCCCTCGTCTCTAAAAATAAATAACTCCGATATTCGACAATTGTAATCCGCATGATCTTCGCATCGAGATAATTCTAAGACAAACCCAAGATTATTAATAATCTATAAAATATCTGAATGACAATTTATTCCAGTGGCTTAAATACCGGTTGATAATCACTGGTGGTTGGTAGTAATATATATAGGGGGAATATTAGCATCAGTAGCCAAGCACTAGCTGTGTATATCTACCGTGTATGATCGCACTTGTACGTAACGCACAGAGAGGTATAACGGACAATGACACACAAGTACAATTGTACAAGGTTGTGAGGAGGGAGGAGGAGTGATGAGAGGGGATGAAAACAAGAGAGGGATAGTAGTAGTTGAATGTGTTGAGGGTTTATCCACCAATTTGGCTGGGAAACACAGTCAAAGTGAGGGTGCGCAACATGTGTGATACATAATACCGACGAGGAGTATTCAACCCCTATGTGAGGGCATTAATAGCGTCAATGCAAGCATTCTAGAGTGGATAGAGTTATGATGTTCAATCATTGTCTTTCAGATGTTATACTATCCGGCAATGACAACAGCATTCAGGACACTATACTTCCAATCTATAAATTGAAACGACACCCCTAACGATCTCTAAATTATTCGCGTTTCAATATTCTCCCAAGAAAATAGACAGAGTTAAGAATCAATAGAAGATAAAATGTGGAAAAATTACAGAATTAGTAGAGCTAACATACGTCACGATAAAAAAATTAAAAATCTATCCGAATCTAAATCTCTCGTGAACCACTAACAAACATGTCTTCAATTTTAACCTACAGTTCAATTAACCTCATATTTTTCTTTCCAACCACAATTTAGTAGATCTGGCAGAACCACAGGGTAAATGAAGAATGAAAATATCTTATTCCAGGTTGAGAGTCTCTGGGAGTTCATAAGCCAGTGGAGGATCTCCCAAACGGGTGGACTGTACCGAAATAATGTACAGTACCCGCTCAAAGGAGGGTAGGTACATTGGATAAAGAGAGATAGAGTGGATAAATGAGAGAGAGGGAGGGTGGATGGGGTGAAAGGAGGGAAGGAGAGGGGAGGGATATTGCAGAATAGAAAGCCCCTCTCCCTCTTGCCAGCCCTTCCTCCCGCCCCTCAAAACTGCACGGAATAACAATGGCGTGCAAAGGAGATTAACAAACAGAATAAGCTAACGCATAATCGCATTATTTCTGGCTAAGCCGCATTTAAATTAGATAGAAATTCCATTTAACGAAACAATGCTGAATGGCACGAGATATTGGTCCACATTTGGAATCATACAGTCAGCTGAGTACTTAAAGATCATTTTCTCATCCTTAAAAAAAAAAGAATTGTAACCCAACGAAATGGAAGTGTTCAGATTTTTTTTTATACCACCCCCGGGGGTGGATACGTTATCGGATTCATCCACGTGATGATTCGCCATGTTATGACGTCATGGTAACGCACCTCGTGGTGTTCATTGATAAAAATATTGAGTCCCGCGAGTTTTGGGGTTTGAATAAAATTTTCAGAGAGAATTTTGACGATTCTCGAGTGGGGTAGGAATTTTTTTGTTGGACGACCCCCAGTCCATTTGGTGATTTTTTTTTTTGTATTTTGTAATGGTTTTACCTGTGCACCACCGGCGATAGACTGATAAGCTGATTGAAATGCATTTCCAAGCTGCGTCATGCTCTCGTCCTCCATTTGAAACATAATGTCAGCACCGGGTGATCCATTGTTGTTATTACCCATTAATTTCTCTGGATTACCAGTCTCCCTCAATATCGTGTTCGACTGCATTTTCTTTACAATCCACTCAATGGGAAAAAAAAAACACCACGATTTGTACGGAATAAATTTTCACTCTCGAGTTTGTGTTATAATCCAGTATCAAATCACAAAACTAAACCCCAAGCACTCGATGTTCGTCATTTTATCACAGAAAAACACAAATTAAAACTGGCAACAAAATTTTTTCCAACACCGGTAAATCGCGATAAAATTCAAACAATTGTAAACAATGAATATTTCCCCTCTATTTGTATTTCCGCCCCAGTTGGTAATGTAGATTGCAATTAATTATCATAACTGCGTATTTTCCATCTCCATTTCCCTCACGAGTTTCCGTATCTCATGTCATCAACAGAAAATGTGGCTCGAGTAAGAGAAAATTTATTAGAAATACCACAAGTTAAGAGAGAAAAGCCGGTATTTTACTCGCTGTCTTTCTCTCGTGTCGCATTCACTGACAGAAACAAAGCGCAACAAACAGTTTTGCCTCGATTTCCGAGAGGTAACTCCTATTTTCCACAATGGAAATCTATCAGAAAATAAACACGAGGCTCGAACGTCGGACACACATGGCGCTGGCTAGACGCCTCGTAACCCAACGAACAAAATAAAAGTCTTCACTCTTTTCCTTCACTTTTCGAATGATTCTCACTGTTTCTCAAAAGCGCCTCGCAAAAAAAAAAATCACAACTACCACAAATATTCACAAACTACCTCTCTTCAGTTTCCCTCCCTAAAAATCACTTAACCTCCAAAATCCTCTCCAAAACCGAAAAACAAATTTTCCAAAACTCAGTGTTGAAAGCTATTCCTCACATTCACAGACAGTTCGCTTGACGTTTTATTTGTCTTTTCCCGTAAATTTGATTTTCGAATGGTACACAGTGGTGGGATAAATTTTAGAACAAAGGAAACTCAAAACAACAGTTTTACCACCGGAAAATGAAAAAAAAAATGCGAGAATTGACAGGAAAACACTCGCCCGATCGAGGTACGCAGAGCGACTGACGCTGAACTAGGGGGGACGAGTGTTAATCCCACCACTCTGACAATCCGCCAATCGACGTACAGTATTGACTCTCCCCTCGTTGGCCCACCGTGGGGAGAGGGTAATACGAGAAAACCCGAGTAGATACGATGCTCTTTGTCTCGTGCATTTCCGTGGCGTCTCCCTCCCTTTTATTTCATTTTATTTTATTTTTTTCACTTTATTACGCTCAGCGCCATCTCCACACATTCACTTCTGTCTCACTTTTCCCACTCTCTCCATTTTACTCGCGACTTTTAGAAGATTGAGGGGTTCCTAGCGGCAAATAGAAAAATTCGGAAAATTTGAGCAGAGAAAAATAGCGGGTTTGACTATTATACCTCGGTTTGATTTTTGGAGTCAGAGGAATTAAATTGAAAAATTGAGAACGTGGAAGAAGTTCATGATCGATATAGAAAATTTAGGGCGAATTTTCCGGAGGGGAAAATATTGGAAAGTGGAATTTTCAGGTGAAAATTCAGAAGCGACTGGAGGGAAATTATGGATTTTCCTGGATTTAACGATTTTTGATAATATTTGGAATTTAATTGAATAGATATTAGCATTTTTTTATATTTAAATGAGATGATTAATTTTCAGGTGAAAAATTCAGTGGAAACGGCACCTTCTCGAAATGCAAATTCAAGTCTAAAAATTTTGATAGGTTATCGATTGAGAGTGTCTTTTCTGAATGACTTTTTCCGGCTTTCCGGGGATTTTCTTCGGTTTATTTTTCTTTGTCGTGTTGAATTGAGGGTGGAAAAGAGAGAGAAGTTGAAGCCGTTCTGAAAACATTGGTCCACTTGTTGAGTCGAAAAGCCGGAGGCATTCGAGTAATTGTTTGAGAATGGATCTTTTTGTTATTCGAAGGGGTGCCTCCAGGGGGTGATAAAATTCGGAAATCAATTGTGATTAGGGGCACGTGACCTCGCTGTCCCTCACTCGCGAAAATAATCCCGAATTTTTTATCGCTCCGTTAAAAAAAATCATGTCCATTTTTATGTTTAGGGCATATACATTTGTTTGTTGTTCTATGGAGTTCATTCAACTGACTCTGAATTCACGGTGAATTTCCGAGAAAATTAACGGGCCAGAGTGAGACTGTGCAGAGGGCACATTTAGGGGAAGAATTTATCGGATGGAGATTTACCACCAGACGAATACAGGAAGCCGAGGATTGGGCATCGTGTTGCATGTCAGTGATTCTCAACCGAAATATCGAAAAATTAACTTTATCAAACCCCCAAATACAAAAAATTCAACTCTAAAATAAAAAATCTAATTATTCTAATTTCCTGTCCCCATGATTTTTTTCAGACAAGACGAATTTATTTGAGACTAGAATGAAGCTAGAAAGAAAAAATTTTACTACTCGATAGAAATTTTTTTTTTTCCCGAGTGAATGGATTTCTTGCTGGACTCATTTGTAAAATTCAATGGCAATTTGAAAAAAAGAATTTCCCAACTGCATCCCATTGTCCCAGCACTTAGTTTATTATCAATGACGCAAGTAATGGTCTATTGTTGAATCACCCCCCCCTCCACAGATTTTCATTGACTCGTTGCAACCGATACCCTTAAAATTCGAAAGTAATTTTAGTGTCGTTGTAGTCGTTGTAGATGAAGAAAGAGGGGAGAGACGTATAATTACCCAACCTAACCCATGTATAACCCACTTGGCGAGAGTTTAGCGAGTTCTACTTCTCCGGGTGGCCACTGGCCAATTCAAATCCAGATAGCGAATAATAAATCCATTAAAAAAAATACAATTCTCATCCTATTCTCCTCATTATTCAATTACCCAGATCCCCCCGAAATTCGTGAATTTACGCATATTTAATTCCAAGAAGAATCCCTTTAAAATTCCTGTGGAAATAATTAATCAAATTTCCCGGGAATTTTTCCAATTTTTAATCCATCCCAAACGAATCTCTGACTTTTGGAGAAATAATTTATGAACGCGCCCCCTCATGACTCATAAATTAATCCTCCACCAAGTGCAAGGTTCCAATTTGCAAATTCAATAGAAATGGGCGTGCAGGGGTAGACTGTAAAATAATTAAAAGTGGCGGATGCACCACCAGCTGTGAATGTCAAAGGTACCAGTACCTGACAGTGACAACGTGACACCAGCATCTCGAAACATTTGTTCTACCTGATCCCTCAAAACTGTGCAGTAAAATGTCCCCCTGACCATCACGAATCTCCTCAACCCAAAATTTTTCCTTTCTTTTTTTTCCACCCGAACAAGTGCCCAACAGGTAATAAACAATTGTCAGAGGGTCCTGTGGGAATTCCCCAGGCTAAATTTATCAACCCCTATTATAAATTTCCACTGAATTTTGAGTGCTGTGTACTCACGAAAACGAGTGGAATTCATGCACATGATTTTCAAAAATTCTCCAAATACGATAATTCCCAAAAATTAATTCATTCCCCGGAGGAAGTGCTCATGGCCATTCACCTCGTCTATGTACACCATAGAATCATTCCATAGAATACCCGAGAAATGAATAAATGTATCACACGATGAATTCACATGCTAAAAAAAAAGGGGCGTCATCAGACCGAGAGGGAATGGAGGGAATTCACAAATAATTAGGTAACCTCGCCTCGACCAACTGTGTAAACCTCTCGCATCATCCAACGCCTTCAATCGGAGAGAAAAAAATATATATATCAGAAGAAAAAAAAAAATTGAAAAGAAATACCCCAAAGAAGGAAGTCAAACCTATAGTCCATTCAATAAAAGAGAATAAATAATACATCCATAGGTGAGAAAAACCGCGCCTCACGCATATATCAAAAATAAAAGTAAAAATTTCCTCCACCAAGAACAAACAATTATTATTATCATTTTCTACACAAATGGCTAATAATAACATGCGTCACCGAATCCATTCGGAATTCTAATTTCCGTGAGTTAACAATTTTTTTCTACTAACTGAATTACGTGATTAAACAAAAAAAAAAACATTTGACATTGAATCTGATAACAATTAAATGATTTCCAATCAGATTCTTATCATTCAAGTCTTAATTGCCCGTAGACCAATTTAAATAAAATCATGTCTATATCCCCCCACACTGACTGAAATATTTGATATCAGATGAGTAGAAAAAAAAAAAGAAATGATCCTTTGTTAGGTACTCGTTCTAAATACTTCCTGACAAGGGTAAATTTGATAAGAGCCCGGGGAAGCCGAAAACAATTCTCTCTCCACGCGTGGGACTAATCGCTCGAGTGATTCTGTTTTCCGTTTAGTTTACTTACGCCAGTGGGGTAGAAAAGCACCCCCCTCCTCCCCTCCCTTTTACCCACCCATTTCATCCCTCTCTGTACTCACCAAAATTCTCGTTTTACTCCCTCGTATTCTCTCTATCCTACTTTTAGTTTCCTATCTCAACCCAGTCCCTGCAGTTAATGTCCTACTGGGGGCTTCCAACCCTCTTTTCCTGTGTCTTGTTCCTCGTCGTACTTTCAACTCCACTCAAAACCACTTCCCCGGGATGTTGTGTTGTCCCTCATACCCCAGTCATGAAGGATAATATTAATATTATTTTTTTCAATTTTCTTACGTTTTTTTTTCCACCGTTTATCTAGCTATGTGAAGTTGGCATCGAAGTTTGAAAAATCTAACTTTTTTTTGTTGGTTTGGATTGTACTCATTGAGTACTTGAATGTACCCTGTGCACTTTTTTTTGTACCCTCTTACTT